AGACTATGCTGTCCACGGCCCAAGCCAACGCAGCAGTTCCCAGGTATGACTGACTCCCTCACCTTCCCAGTCCTCTCCCCGACAATTAATTTTCACAGGACCGATTCCTTACATATTTTTACATCAAAACATAAAACACAGCAACGCACTTACCATGCTTCATCATCACAGTCAGAAACCGGACGATGACTTTGGAGCACGGCCTAATGAGCACCTGGCGTTTGCCCCTCTTCTCGGCATTGTTGATGCTCTTGAGAGCATCGGCCAGGACATTCATGCGCACCATTGTGGCTGTTCGGGGAAGACAGACAGGGTTTGACCAGCAATGCCGACATCAACAGGCACCCAATCGCTCCACGGCCAACACATCCTCCTCTCTCTGCCTCTACCACGACGAAGTCTTCCTCCCTCTAAGCAGCTGGCTCCCCGGCCGCCACGGCAGGACATGTCAGCTACCAAAACCGAAACATCAGCTGCGGTCGGCCAGTTATCCAGAACGGGAGCTGAGAATCGCCGGCAATGGTCCCCAAACTTCTGCAACGCAGCAGCAGCATCTGCACTATGAACACTGCCCTTTAAACCAACTAATTCAATGTCAACCTTGTCCTAACACCCGAAAGATATACCTGACTTTCACCTAACACCCATAACTACTAAAATCAGCTGTCTGTCCTTGTGCCATCGGAGATCGTCCAACAGCAGGCATTCCACAGCGGCAAACACAAACATTGTACATGCAGACTGGACTCTATCGCCCTGGGCACGAACTGCAAGACACTCACAAAGTTTTGAAAGCTAAAGATAGACATAAAGCATGCTCCAAGTGCCAACAGCAAGGATCCAACCTGCTTCCTGAAGTTCAACCAAGTGTCCGAAGGGAAACCCCGGGGCCCAGAAGATCCAGGTTAGTTCCCAGCAAATGCCACCCCAAGCAGGATGCAGCGTCCCTGCAGAGCGGCCTCCGCCGTCCAAACTCCCGGGCGGCCGCAGAAATAGGAAGGGGCATGGCCCACTACGGCCACCGTCCCCGACGCTTCCCGCCGCCTGGAGCCAAGGCGCTGCCTCCGCCACCAAGGGGAGGGGGTCCTGACACCACCGACCGAGTCGGGGCTACCGAAAGCTCGGGTTCCGCCAGCGCTGCGGCCTGCCCCCCACAGGCCCGGCTTCCCAGAGTGGAAAGCGTGGGGCGACCGAGCATGACTCTCCCCTACGCCTGCCCAGGCCCCCGCAAGGCCAGTATCCCCGGCTCAGGCGGGCTCTGGCATCTTCGTAGAGCACCAAAGGCGAGCCTCAAGCTACAGGATGGCACCGATAGCCTACGGATGCTACTGGATACCTCAGAGAGCCATACTCACCGGCACGGAAAGATGGCGGAAAGAGGACGGGAGGGGCGAGCGCACGGAGTTATGGGAAGCGGGCGGGCTATCGCGAGACTTTCAAAGGACCGCCAAAAAAAAAGATTGCCTAGTAGAAGGAGGTGGATGAAGGGGCAGAGCCTCTTCAGGGGTGAGCAGTAGAGAGTCGATGGCATCGACCTCCCCAGGTGAGGCCGTGGGGAGGAGATAGAGGTGAGGCATTAGCCGGAGTTTCCACTGCTTGCTAGCCCTTAATCTGTCAAAATTGAAAACGACAGCAAGGGCCTAGATATATGCTAGTTTTATTGCAGTAACTGTTCACCCATTTAGAATAAATTTTGATACTTGCGTAATTTCATTCTTCTGGAAGGACCCATGGAGATCTGTAATTCCCTCTGCGAAGGGCCTTAGGAACTGGGATGGAAGATTCGCTTTTCTCCCTATACAGTTTTGTTTTATTTGAAGCATGTGTATATATTACATTTTCAAAGCAGTCAAAAACTATTTTTTAATCGGTGGTTCCTTTTTGCCGCTCCCTAAATCTTAGAAATTATTTACTGGGGCTCCGGACGTTTCTTTGGAGTTCTGGGATACACAGTTGGGAAGAAAGCCACGAATGTTTCGAAATAAATCCTCAGGATTCTGAGCCAGTGGCTTTTATCTGCTCTTCTGCACCTGGACAAGAACCAATTTGTAAGTCTCTTGTCCTCTCTGAATCTTCCCCAGATGTATAAACTGGGGGTAATAATAAAACCTGACTCTTAAAGGCATTAAAGGTTATTGCGAGGATCCGATGAGATAATGGTGGCAAAGGGCTCGCCCAACCTCTGGCACGTAATAAGTGCTCAACATATGTATTTTGGCAATGCAAAGGACGGGAAGTTGTAAGTACTGCTTGAAGCCTGGGATCTCATCATCTGGGAGGGAATGAATTCTTGCTCCGCCCTCTCTGGAGCTGAGTGAGCTGACCTAACATCTAAAATAGTATTTGCAAAAAATTCAAGTCGGATCATGCACTCTCCGAGGGCTCCCGTGACCCTCAGTGAAATCGAAATTCTTTACGAAAGCTTACAGGGTCCCCCGTGACGGGCACACCTGCCTCCTTGCACGGGCACACCAGACCTCACCCTGCACCATTCTCCCCGGCTTGCTTTTCTGTAAACACTCCAAGCATACTCCACCTCCGGGTCTTTGCATTTGCTTTTGCGTCCAACTTGAACATTCCTCCTCCAGTGAGCCAGAAGGCTTGCTCCTGGCTTTCCTCAGCTCTCTATTCAGTCACACACACACACACACAGCCTCCTCCCGTTCCCTCTAAACCCATTGCCCTGCTTAATTTTTCTCCGCAGCACTGACCACCTGAAACATTGGAAGTTTATTTATTTTCCAAATTAAGTTCCAAGCAGGCAGGGTTTTCGTCAGTTTCGTTCCCCACCGTACTCACAGCTTCTAGAGAAGTCACCTGGCGCATAATAGGCTCTGGATACATAGCTGACGAATGAATGGGCAAATCGGTTTCCCCATCTGTAAAACGGAGATGTTACTACCCATCACTTGGAGTTACTGTGAGGATAAGTGAAATAATCCGTGTAAAAGTGATTAACACAAAACCTGGCAGAGTGAGTGCTCAGTCAAAGCTTATTAGTATATTGTCTCAGCACCCCCCCCCCCCCCTTCTCAAATCCTGAGTGAACCTTGAGGAAAGGAAAGCTCCCAATTTGAACGTCTCAAGGGATATAGTTCTCTGGTTATAATTTACATTACAAAAGGACCACTTGCTTTTTTAATGAAAACTTCCTTGAAGAACTCATTCCCTATACACCTACGCGTTTTGTTTACTGAAAATGTGGAGTTCACCTTAACTGAGGGCCTTAGCAATAGTGGGGAGTTAAATGAATAAACCCACTTTCCTTCAAGAGCCTGACCCTAAATAGAAAAATAGCACCATCCACTCTCTTTATCCACTTCATTCATTCATTCATTCATTCAACAAACATCCAATGAGTGCCTATCATGTGCCAGAGGTTGTGCCAGGTGGTGAGAGGACAAAAATATCAGCTCCTGCCCTAAAGAGGTGCCCATCCCGGTAGGGGAGACAGACCTGTAAATAACACCACACCGGGCAGTGTGCCAGACAGGATGCCAACAGGCAGTGCTGTGGGAACGTTGAGGTGGCCTGGGAAGTTGCTAAAGCTTTCACAGAGAAAGTGCTATTTGATCTGTGTCGTGAAAGGTAACCACCACCCATTCATGACTCCCACTAAGTGCTTCCGGGAGATTAACTTGCTGACTCATCAGAACAAACGCAATTGCAATTATATAGTGCCCCTATGAGATCTGTACTCTTATCCCCATTTCACAAATGAGAAAACTAAATTCAATGTGAAATTGACTCAGTCTTAAAATTTTGCTTTAGTTTAAAAAAGTGAAAGCAAAAAAAACTGTGGTTACTTGTCTAAGCTACTAGATAAATTACTTGGGTTTGGGTCTACCGGATCCCAAAACGTTAGAAAGGGTGTGTGGGGCAGTAGCTAGTCTAGGCTTGTAACAGCTCCAAGAGATGGGAGAGCATGGAATCGTATAAAGGTGGCTAGACATCTTGGAACAGCTGGGCAGGAATTGGCAAATAGGGTAGAAGGGGAAATGGAGCAGAGGGCCATGTACAAATTGCCTCACAAGCTTGCGGTTTATGCTCTAGACAAACTGGAACCTGCTGAGAGATCTTCAAATAGGATTGATCACGGTCTGAGTTGTTCAAACTAAATGGCAACAAGGGGAAGACAGTTGCTGGCATTAAATCACCTCTCCTAAAAACTGCCAAATCCTTTCATTGTTGTTGGCACAACTAACTCCAAACGGCCTCCTCTGGGCATCCTGTGAACCCTGGAATGACAGGACCTCCGATGAAGGTGGTGTCAAGGCAAGTGTCAAAAAGGGACTTTTGCTGTGGGCAGAGCAGGCACAGGGGTAGCTGAGCTGGCCTGGGGAGGAAGCCAGCCACGTGAGACGGCCTGAGAAGCAATTACAGCCGCCCGGTGAAAGATCAGCATTTCAAAGACTAGGCAACCACGGCCAGACCTATGGTGACTTTTGACTTTTGGGTTGACATTTCCCTTTTCTGGACATCACCAACCCCCCAGGAAGCTCCAAAGAAGGATCTATACTTTTTTGGGGGGGCACGGGGGGAGGGGGCTCAGAATTTACTTTGATATTGACTCTGTTCCCACGACCCATTAAGTATAGACAGTGAGGCCCAATGAGAAAACATCCAATTTGAGCTCTAATTTTAAAAAGTGTTTACAGTGTAGACAAGTCAGCCACCATTTACTGACTTACAAGCACCTCGTATACTGAGCTCGGAGCTAGGCACCGGGGTACACAGGTGCCCACGCAGGCAGTCTCCTCAAGCCTGCACCGAGCCCCTCCTGTTCTTCCAGCCTGGCCCTCTCACACTTCATCTTCCACCATCACTCATTCCTTATATTTCCATTTCCACCTAGCATGTTGCATGGATGTTTGCTGAATGAATAAATTTACACCTTTTATTTCATTTTGTTGTTAAAGAGTATCTTATAGGCATGTAATGATCATACAAGGCAGCACATTAATCAGATTCATAAATTCAATCACAGAAACACTATTGGCTCAGGTGTAAAGAAAGTAGGACACAAGGAGGAATTTGAGCTTTATTTTTCCCCTTTTACACAAAACAAAGTAGAAGAAATAACAGAGGATTAAAATCTCAAAAGTGGTTAACTGGTAGAACACATATACACAACAAACCCGGATAGGAGACAGGCTTATTTACACTGAGGAAACACATGTAAATTAAGGTAATTTGTAATTTTCATATGAAACAATAAAAAAAAAATCAAACATATGCTCCATAGGTGCCACTGTTTACAGCAATCTTGAAGGGGAGAAAACAACACTTATCTAGGGACAGATATTTCACGAGGTCCAGGTTTTACAGCATCAGTGCAATAAATTCACAAAACTATATAACAGCTCATTAATCAGAGTTTAAGAATTGTTCCCAAATATGTCACATTTTCGGCCCTCAGAGGTTCATTCCTACAGATTTCAACTACTCTAAATTTCTAGCTACTGAGGGAGAATGATTCTAGGATGCATTCCAAGAGTTACAAAATCTCGGTAGACCAGAGGCCAGCTATCATCGCCACAATCTGCTCTCACCAACGGCCCTTGCATTCTTCAGAGAAACAGCTACGCAAAAAGTCAGCCGCCAGCGTAGTCACCACCTCCTACGCCATATCTATGGAGACCAAAGCAGCCAGCATTACCATAAAATGAGAATCCTGAGCTTACCTTCAAAGGCTTATTCTGGTCTTGAACAATTAGTAGGATAAGATTATTTTCTACTGAAAGGAACCTTGATTAAACACAGGACGACTTCTGTCCTTTTATTGGCTGGTCTCAGAGTGAAGGTCAGAGACGTGAGTCTTAACCTATTCTGTACTTTACTTTCAGGCAGCTGAAAATCTGAAATTAAAAGTATGCTAAAAATCCTAAACATGACCTTTTGGAAGCCTGCTATTAAAAAGCCTTTAAGGATCTCCTACCTTGAAGTCTAAGTGCAAGGGGACCAGAGCTCTAAGCCTGTCACATTCCCCATTCGAGAGGAAGGATCAACGTTTCCTACAAATTGCTAAATTTTGCACAAGGGAGAAACCAACACAGACAAGGGCACGGAATTGGTCTCGTTTTATTCCATGAGGATTCTTCTCCCACGGTATACAAACAGAATGAGGAATGGATCTTAATTGGTCTCTTCATCAGGAGCGGTGGACGTGGTCTCTACTCCCGTGCCAGACAGCTCTCAGCAGACTGGAAGTAGACAGGAGAACCAGCTTCCTGCAGCCGCAGACCACTACCTGCTACCTGGCGAAAGCCACAACCAACTGGAACAATTACGCAGTCACTGTTAACTGGACTAAGGGTGAAGTTCACCACTACATTATTGTAAAGGAAGCTGCCTAAAAGTAAGAACTCAGTTAACCCTGGGTGAGAAAAATCAAAACAAGTCCTACTCACAAATGAGTTGTCCATAGAAGGCCAACTGATAGGGGTGCACCCGCTACACTTGACATGAAGACACTATGCGTACGGCCTCACTCGGCAAGTCAGAATTTCTATTAATTAAGGGCACAATGAGGGAGAGCAAAGAACTACTTCTGTAACATTTGAGTATCCAGGGAGCATAATACAAACTGTTCCCAAGGACAATGTACTCGCTATTAATCATCAGACGCATTATTCGTTTTTCTTTTCTTTCTGTTTGAGCAGCTTGTTTATCTCCCTTTTGGCCATTCCAATGTACTTCGAAATGATTCCATGTTGGTTTAGCCCAGGAAGCAACAGTACGAAAGTCACTTAAAATAAAGAAACAAACAAAATTAAGGAGGCTGTAATTAACTTCCGAAAGGTTACTACATTTTACAGAAGGTAGTTTCCTGGACTATCAGACACTCTAATGGGAGGAAGCAATAGGAAATCCAGGACTTTCATTGGTATTTATCCCCAGAAACTTCTGCCATCATACCTCCCCACTTCAGATAACACACTGCTTGTTTTGACCTCTTGCACACGACTTTCTATCTTGGTTATTATGTTCTCTGTCTTAACTTCCTATAAGACCACTCACCCCCTGAAAACAAGGACCTGGCTGTAGTCATCTTTCTATACTCCCAACAGGTCCTTGATCGCAGCCTCAAACTTGGTGAGCCCCACATATCTGCTTACTGACGAACGTCCATTAGCCCTCACTGGCCAGGATGTGCCTGGAGTTCTTCCTCAGAGACTTACCTATCAGGTAGGTGAGAAGAAGGTTGTGGACTTGCTGTCCCACCCAAGCAACCGCAGCAAGAGAAATGATCATGGTCATGAAGTACTAATAATAGAAACAACAAGGAATTATCGACTCCTGGAAACAGGCTAAGAAGCATCGCTTTAGGAGGCTGTTTCAAAGGTTTGAAAATAATTCAGTTTTTATTACTACTTTTCTTTAAAAATAGTTGGTATCTATATATTATATAAAACCCACAGAAAACTCCCTTAGATCTTCTTTACAGAATTTAGAATTACTGTAACTCTATATGTAAATTAAATAGTTTATAATATAAATTACACTACTTTCGTTTTGAGGAAGATTAGCCCTGGGCTAACATCGGCTACCAATCCTCCTCTTTTTGCTGAAGAAGACTGGCTCTGAGCTAACATGCATGCCCATCGTCCTCCACTTTATATGTGGGATGCCTACGACAGCATGGTTTGACAAGTGGTGCCATGTCTGCACCTGGGATCCAAACCGGCGAACCCCAGGCCACTAAAGTGGAACGTGCGCACTTAATCGCTGCGCACCGGGCCAGCCCCAAAATTACACTACTTTTACAATTAATAACTTCATATAGTATCCTCAGGTGAAGCTAAGAGATAACAGAACAAATGCTTTCTAAGTATATGTCTTTTATTTTTATTTCAGTAAGTGAAAAAGAAAAGAAACAGAAAAATTTCACTCAACTAAAATAAAAAATTAAATGCAAAATATAATTCTAACTTCCAGTGATTCAGTCTAACTAATACAGACAAACATTTATGAATGTTCTCAAAGAAGTTAAACCCATGGATGATGATAAATATCAAACTACAACTATTAAAACAGAAAGACTCACTAGGCCACAAGGAAGTAAAAATGGACTCAAGCTTAAAATTTTGCTTTACTTAAGTAAGTCAGAACAAAAAAAGTACCATTTTTGGCTTTTCCTCCTTCAGTGTGAAGAGGCGTCTCCACCAGCCCACAGCTCTGCGTCGAGTTTTGACTAGATTGTTGCAAATTTCATGGAATCTTTGCTGTTGCTCAGTGGTCCTAGAAAAACAATTTCCCCTTCGCTGTAAGCAAACTTCTGTATTGCTTACAGAACAGAAATACACCATCCCTTCAAATTTATTTTTTTTACTTTTTTTGAGGAAGGTTAGCCTTGAGCTAACATCTGCTGCCAATCCTCCTCTTTTTGCTGAGGAAGACTGGCCCTGAGCTAACATCTGTGCCCATCTTCCTCCACTTTATATGTGGGATGCCTGCCACAGCATGGCTTGCCAAGTGGTGCGTAGGTTTGCACCTGGGATCCTAACTGGCGAACCCTGAGCCGTGGAAGCAGAACGTGCGAACTTAACCGCTGTGCCACAAGGCCGGCCTCCCTCAAATTTAAAAAGCTATCTCCCAAAGAAAGTCCAAATAAAAAACAATGATTCACCATTATCTTATAAAAGTGAAAAAGTTCTTGTACCATTGAGCTACCTTTTCTAGCACAAGAATAAGTTTTTACATAAAGACACATGCATAGGTGTACAAAGTAATGGGAATCTTTGCTTCTAAAACCACATTTGGTTAATGAAAATAAGAGAAGACTCATGACTACTATGGGCCATGCAGAAATCAGTATACATTAGTTTCTCTATTCCTACATCATTTTTCAGATCCTAATGAGTCCTGGGTTATAGCCCAGAGTCCCACTATTTTGAGGAAGACGTGACGTTTCTCCCAAACAGCTGTATTTGAGCACTCTTCATAAAATAATAACTACTAGCATTCAAAGCATAATACCCTCAACTGGGCTTCATATATTTGATGCCAGGGCAGCAACATACAGCTCAAAGCCAAATTCTTTACAAATTTTGTCCCAGTGAGGGAAAATATAATCATAAACAGCAGTTAAAAAAAAAAAAAAAAAGATCCTCCAAGAAAGCCCTTTTATCTTCATAACGTTTTTTGGCTTCTGATCAAATGATTTGCCTCTGTGCTGCCTTGGCTATCCAGATACAATGGCCGCTACTATGAAGTAGGCCCTACGCAGGGCTATGTGTGACCTCCTCTCCTCTAGTCCTTGTCCCTGTAAAACTGCAGTCACAGATACAGCAGGAGAGTTTCGGCTGACCCCTGAACTTCTTGCAAACAATCAGACCTTGTATGCTACCCATGGTCAAGGCTAGGTGGTGGCTATGCAACAGTGTTCTTCCTTCCCCATAAAGATCAAAAAATAAAACTGCTCTGTCGATAAGACTGAGCCACACGCTCATTACCATGACACTATCAGTGTTTATTTGTGAAAACCTTTCCCCAAGAGTTATGAATTAGCAGATTAGAATGTCATCTGGCTAATAAAGTCAAGGTCAGAGGTTGATTCCTGTTGTTAAATTGTTACATTGCATAATTACAAACTTGCCCAGAAAACAGCATAATTCAATCCATTATAACACATGAAAAACAATTCAAAGGACATTTCCCAATACTAATCCTTTCTGCTATGGGGGAAACATCTTTGAATTAAACATGCTTAATTATCCCATAACTGAAGCAAACTTCCCCAAAATGTCTGAATTTGTTCTCAAAAGTCCATGAAGCATACATTTAAAATTCTTATTTTTACAGAATTATTTTATAATTTGCTATTATGGGGGGAAGAAAACCAAAGGCACGAGTAGACTACTCATCAAATTAAAATACACAACCAAGGGAGAATAGAAGCTAGGAGAAAAAAATCTCTTCCAGCATCTACTTGTGCTCACTATTTGGATCAAAAGTGAGAAATGCAACATTCCAGAGGGAAGTTAAAATACTTTACTATCATGGACAGCCACTTAACTAGATCTTGGGAACTCATAAGTAACCGACTGAAAGGATGGTATAAACGAAATGAACACCCCCCGTATATACAGTTTGAACCTATCCTGAAGCTCTTGCTATGCATTTAGCTGACTCCCACTGCACTGCGTCAAGATCTCAACCTTAAACACAAGATCAATCTTAAGGGTCAAAATATCTCACAGCAGCCTGAAAAGCATCTAACAGAAAAGTAGAATTCAATAAATAGTTGCTAAATAAATGGACAAAAATCTACCACTTACCGTTTTCATATTCATTCAAAAATAACGTGTGAAATTATTATACTATCTTAAATATCAATGGAAATAAGTGTAAAATGTAAGTGTACTTTTATAGAAAGCTCATTATGAGCTCTGCTATCCTTGATAGCATTACCTAAAAAAACCTCACTTCTATTAAAAAAAAGGTCTAGAAAGAAAAGAAAAGGTCAAAATAAATGCTGGACCGTAAAAGAACTATGGCAATATAAGCAGCAGAAATTCACGATTTATATCTGAATCAGCTAAGAAATCCTTCACATAAAAGCAATAAATCTCACCCTGGGTACCCGATGGTTAGACAATTCTCTGTATTTACTCAGAGCACATTAATAACCGCCACCAGGTTCAGGAACTTCTCAGAAATTAGACAGGCAGATCCTTCAGCCACCTACCATTTATTGGAGCCAAAAATTCTAGGCGCCAGAATGGGAACAAGGTAGTCAGCCAAGCACAAAAACATAACAAAACAGGAAACACCGGACAGAACAGATGGATCTAGATAGTAGATAGTCCTGTTTAAAAAAAAAAAAAAAAATTAATGAAGGTTAGAAAACCATAGCTATTATTCCCAGATGAAGAAGCTTATTCACTTAGTCCTCTGTTTCTCAAAGATGTTATTTGCCCTTCTCTTTCTTCCCTTTTTTTTTTTTAAGGAATATTAGCCCTGAGCTAACATCTGTGCCCATCTTCCTCTACTTTACGTGGGATGCCTGCCACAGCATGGCTTGCCAAGCAGTGCATAAGTCTGCACCCGGGATCTGAACCGGCGAACCCCAGCCGCGGAAGCGGAAGTGCCAACTTAACCGCTGCGCCACTGAGCCGGCTCTTTTCATTCTAACTTTCCCACGAGTGGTTGCTCAAAACCTTGGTGACATGATGACATCATAGCTGCAATGGTTAATGTAAACACTAAGAAAAAAAAGCTCTTTGGGGTCCTCAATACTTTTTACGAGTGTGAAGGGTCCTAAGACCAAAAAGTTTGAGAGCCACTGATTTATTCAACTGCATTAGGTTACCAAGTTTACATAAGCACTACAAATTCTGAAAACTAGGCGAACTGATCTAAGAAAAGCATTCTTTACAGATTATACATTACAAAAGACATAAATGAAGGCTGTGTATGACCTGAGCCCTTCTTATTAACAAGCACAATGCAGAGTAATTTAATAGCTCACTTACAGAAACACCAAAGAAACCACACCCATGATAGCAGGTGGAAACCAGGCTCTTTCCCATCGGAGGACTTTATCAGCCATCAGCATCACTTCTCCCCATCCTTGCAGCTGCTCTTCCAGACTTGCAGTCTCTGCAGCCTGCGCAGGATCAACATTTAAAGCGATCACCGGACCACTCTCAACATCTCTGTGCATTCTGGACAGTTAAATTCTTCTAAGGCTCCAAGTGTGTGAAATAGCTCTTCACCAAATCACTATCTTAAGCAAGTTAGTTTCTAAAAAACTGCCATTTTGGTACCAAAGACGGAAATCAGTGGAGGAAAAAAACTATCATTTAATGGTCCCCTTTCAAGTGCAAGCACTGGGCTATTCTTTACGTATTACGATATAACATAATCCTTACAGAGCCCCTCAAGGTAGGGATAATTAGACCCATTTTACAATTAAAGAAAGGGAGCTCACAAGAGTTAACCAACTTTCCCAAAGTCATGCACTAATAGGTGGCAGTGCCCAGAGCATAAAATTAGACCACTTGAAATTCGCTCATTTCAGGCGGTTAGAACTGATCTGCTGTGTTGTCATTCCAGTGATTTTAAACCCCTCCTTCGGAAAGCATCGCCCTAAACAGCATTCAATTTCTAAAATAGCTCTTTGCGTCATGGAATCATTTAGACGTTGGCATCATTTACACAATTAAGGAAAATTCTTTCCTCAAATTCTAAGAGGCATTTTAAGCTCAATATAGCTCCTCAATACAGAGCTTCTTACCCTTCGCAGGACATTTTAGTTAGGCTTCAAATTCCTCCACAAATCTGACAATCAGCTGAAAGCAGACTTCTAGGATGAGCTAACGTGGCAAAAAGCCCTTAAGCTGATTTTGGTAGACGGAAAAATAATTGGACCATGTCCTTATAAATGTTATTACAGGGAAATATGCAAATGACAGGGGACAGTGCAGCTTAATCTTAATAAAAATGCTGTCTGTGCCACACTAATCACACTTAGGTGATCTCAATATTTCTGACTTTATATACCATGTTTAATATAGTAAAATAAGAGATTACTATGTGCCAGAAACTCTGCTAAGTATTTTATATGCTTTTTTAATCCTCCCAACAAGCTAAAAGGAAGGTGTTGTTACTAAAATCATTTTACAGAAGAGGAAACTGAGATACACAAAGGATAAGAGATCTGAGTACAGGAAATATAAGGCCAAAGGCCTCATTCTCCTCAAAGTTAACGCTGCTCTGCTGGAGAAAGCAGTTGAGCTCCTGGCCAAGATCTGTCATTTCAATAGCTGTGTGAACTTGGGAAACTTCTTTGCACTTCGATCAATCCTCTTAAAAGGAACCGGGCCGGGGCTAACCATGCTAAGCAGTGAGAAGGGGTGCGGTCTGTGTGTGTGTAACGGTGCAGGTTCCGCGTTTCTAAAAACCAATGCAAAACGAAAATCACGCACAATCAAAAACTGCTCTGCAAAGTCACTTAATTCTTTAGCATCTGGGCTCCTGGAGAATCAAAAGTCAAAAATTGGATTCTTTCCTCCCTGTATTCATCGTGTTTGTGGCATGTGGCCTGCCCTTGCGTGGGAAAGACAACGGAGAAAACGCACGGGTTTCTCTTGTTTTTGCCTAGATCTCGCCGTGAAATTCGCAGTGAGGTTGAACTTGCCCGCCTGCGATACAACCTCACTCATGTGCAGCTCCTCTGGACCCCTGCTTTATTTCTTAAGTCGTCCTGTGACCCCCAGACAAACGCCAGGCCCTCCCACTGTCCTTCCAGCTGGACCCCACTCCCAGGCCCCTGCGGCGAGCTCGCAGCCTCCCGGCAGTTTTAAGCTGTGTCAGCCCTAACAGAACTCGACAGCAGCCCTTGACCCTCCAACCCTGCCCAGGTATTGGAGAAAAAAAACGAAAGGACATTCAGATTAAGATCAAAGAGGGGGAAACCCGGATGCGGCTGGGGCCTGGGCCCAAAGAGCGCTCGGCAGGCCCCTCGCGGCCCTCTGGCCCAGGCTGCACCCCAGGCTTGTCACGGCGCCCCTCTCCCACTTCCTGCTGAACCCCTATTCGCGAGGACTGGTCACGCGCCCTCCTCGCCCGGTCGCGCACCTTCCCCAGGGCACGTTAGGGGTCCACACGACTGGGGACTGCCTCGCAGGAGCTGCCCGAGAAGCCCGAGGGGCAGGCGTCGTCGCCGGGCCCGCTGCGGTGAGAGGAACGAGGCCGCAGCACCGCCCGGGTGAGCCCACCCAAGTCCGGGGGCCCCGCTCCGTGCCCTCGCAACGAGGCACCGGGACTCACCAGTAGGTTGGTGCTGCGATTATCTCCCTCCGCCATCGTCCCCGAGGTGCCGCTTCAGCGAGCGTAAGCCACCCTCCAACGCAGCCTTACCCCCGACACCCGCGCAACGACCCCAGCGCGAGGACACGCCCCGCAGGCTGCTTATATAGACTGGCTGCCTTTCCCGACAGCCCCCTCGAAGCTCGTTCCTCATTGGACAGATCAAGCGCAAGCTTAAGGGCAGCCGGACCAACCGCCGCCCAGCGCATGGCTTGAAATCGAGGTCAAAGGGGAGCGAGGCGGAGCCAGGGCGAGGGGGCGTGAACGCAGGTTGACCAATCGGCGCCCAGGGGATGTGCGACGCCCCGCCCAGGCCTTTCGGAGGCGGGTGAACTGCGGGTGCTCCGAGTCTGGTTTGGCCTCAGTAGCCCCAGGGTGGACCGTCCTCTGCTGGATCTCAGAGCAGCTGAGGAGCCTCTCTGGAATGTAGTCCTCGAAGAAATATGCCACGCAGTAACGGGCGGAGGGCAGAGATGGCCTGTGACGTCAACCTCGTTGTGATTAAGGGGGCCGGCTGGGATCCTCCTCCCGACCAGGCCCGTGCCCTCGCCCTCGCTGTGCCCGGGCGGCCCTCCCTTTCTTCTAATCCCCGCTCTGGCCACCCTAGCCAGGCCACTGGGCAGTTTAGCCTAGACTTGTGAGTCGAAGACTCGTGCCCTCTTGAGGTCTTGAGGACAAATGAAAAGAGCTATTTATGTAGATTTTCTGCAATTTTTTCCTTGCTATTCATCAGTAATAAGGCCTTAGCTTGATGGGGGGCGGGGGCGGGGGGGGGCGGTGCTGGACACAGTTTGAGAACTTGTGAAAAATGCACCGACTTATAAAGTTGGCTTATTTACATGGAGTCTTTATGCAAACTCCTTGTGTGGCACTTCAGTTACTTAGGAAACTACGAGCTTCCTATCCCAAAAGGGACTAGTTGTGACAGAACCTTTCTTACCTTGTAAGTCATGCTAAGGAAAAATGTAAAACCCTCTCATAAGCAGTGGGATTCATAAGCAGTTTAGGAACTAGACGACCTATGGTGAGACACTTCTGCATCTTTTCTCTCCAGGATTTCAAAATGCATTAACTCAGGACAAACAAAGTCATGCCAAATGTTGACCTGGTCAGACGTCTGTTTTGGGAAAATTTATCATAGCTTTTAACTTCCAGTCTTTTATCCTTTTGCGGTCATCTATTTTATGCCATTGAATTTAAATTTACTTTAAAAGCATTCCTTAAATAACTAGCAGGTTCTTAAAAGAGTACAGGGAAGGCATAAAGAAATTTGAGAATACAGCTACAGACCACATGCAGCCCATGAGCAAGCCAGGGAACAGGAGCACTGTGAATTTCATGCAAGGGTGTGAAATTTGCCATGGATCTTTGAAAAAAGTAAAGCATCTGGATCAGGTATAAACACTTGGGGAGGGCGGGGGTCTTTGCAAGGGAAGGAGACTCTTCAATAAAGTGTCATTTTGGGGAATGTTGGGGGAAAAAAATAGGTGATGTAGGTAGGAGGCAGCCAGTTGATAAAGAGACCCCATTTTGGGAGATTTTAAAGCTATGAAGTTTGAGTTGCAGGGCCCCCCCTACCTCTTCAAAAGAAAATTAAAAGGTCCCAATCAGCAGCCACCTAATTAGTGCATATGTTAAGCACTTTTTCTGAAGGCAAAATCTTGCTTATAGGCACAGGAACATGTACTTCCAAAGCAGAGGCCAAGGAGTTATTAGGCTTTAAAAACTGACAATTCCACTTTGGGAAACCAGCTTTTGCTAGAGAACGCTGCTGGTTTTCACCCAAGTTCCCTATGTACAACTTACGAAGAAGGACTTTTCAACACCAGCTTGTGAGATTGAAGTAAGTGGAAAAAATTGAAGCAACTCAAGCAGCACAAGTTCTGCACAGAGCAGTTTTGTGACTCAAGGAAATGTGTTCCCAGACCTATTTGCCGCTTCACAGCCTAGGAGTGCTGCTATAAGCTGCATCTTTGGCTAAACTTACAACTGGCATAATTATTTTTTTTTTAAAAAAAGAAAAACCTAGCCTTAGTGTAGCTTCCTTTTGTGCTGTTTTTGTACTAGAAGGATAGGATGTGATCTTTTGAAACGTGCCAGATGACTGAACAGTTGACATAATCAAGCAGCAACAAATGCGGTCTGACTTCTAGATGTTAAAAGGAACGGGACATTTTAATTCTATTTTCCTTTAGAGCTTTCATACCCTAGGGAATATACATGTCAATAATGATCTACAGGAGTTTCCTTTTTAAATATTGACGAAATTAATTTTAATAAGTTGCACCGTAATACTAAGAACTTTCCCACTGAGGTACAATTCCCACTGCTGTTCAAAAATAGAACTTTGAGGGTAAAAAATTTACTTTTTTGAAAATTAAGCTTTAAAAAATTTTTTGGAGATATTAATGCTTAAAAAAAACCTCTACTCATATTCTAAAATTAAGTTTTCTGGAACCTACTTCAACCAATAAATCCAGAGCTTAAATGCTATGTCTTTTAAGACTTTATTTTTTGAAAAACAGGTATTTCATACAATCTTTGCCATGTTAATGCAAATATGCAGAATGTAGGCATGTATTTTTTTTTTCCAAAAGATGCATTATGAACATTTTCAGGAAGCTGGTGTGATTTATTCAACTTTTAATCTTAAATACAATCACAAAATTATACCCATCAGGAGGCATTACAACCTTTTGCACAGAGAAGCCACTTTATTTATACAATGTTACTAGGACAAGGAAGATTCAGTTCAACTCAATTTGCTCTTATAATAAGGGTAAAGTAAATTAACAAGTAAGTGAAGTACGATGTTGCCACTGACATTACAGGTGGAAATATAAGGGAAATTTAAACCAGAAAAATAACTGACACAAGAACTTTAAACAGGAGCTGAAACCTGGACTGTCAGGAAAAGAAAGAGAAAAATCAGCCTGTTTTGAAAGAAAGAAAAACATTCTACAAGTCTGCATTTCAGAACATGCAATTCCTTATGTTTACCATCTTCAAAAGTCAAGCTAATTGTAAGACTTTTTTTTACATTAGCACAACAAACAGCTTTTCCCTGGTAAGCCCAGTCAAATTCCCATAGAAAGCAAGAGATCCTAAGCGGTTCATGTCATACAACTAACCCTTGAATCTATAAAGCTTCTTAGTCTCAGTCCATTTGCTCTTTTGTAAATAAGGGATGGTAATACTGTCACCCAGGCCTAAAAAGCAGGAAAAGTGCAACAAACCCTTAGAGGTTCATCATACAGTGAATTTCCCCTTCCCCAATGTTTGGAAAAATCCGTAATGCTAGCTAGTTTTTCCCCAGAGGAGGAAACTTTCTAATACAACCCAAAACTACTTTAAGTGACCCTTACGTTAACATATTCTACCTCCTTGATTTAAGGGGAGAAAAATCCTAGCTCTAAATTACTGGCATTTTGCAAGCTCAAGAAGATATAGAATGGAAGGTCATTGGTTTTCACATTCATCTAATTTTATGTAAAACAAAGGTACTTAAATGTGCTCATAATAAAGTATTCACTGATTTTCGATGCATATGAATAGGACTAACAGGCTCATTGTAGGTGCTTTCTTTAATATGAAAAGAATTGGGAGAAAAGAAGAACCAGCTCCTTTGATTTTCGTACTGCCAAAACAAGTAAGCCCCTGGAGTAACTGCGTATGTGGAGGAAGATAGGCTAGGAAGACTTTTCAATTTAAAGTACTGCCTATAATACCCCAGATTTGAAAGGACCTAAGATTGCACATCAACTCTAATATTTGGCTGTACTTGCATTGCCCTGCTCGGCATTTTTTAATGGCTCTTTCCTTAAATTTCACACATCAGAACAACCACAATTAAAAAACAAGAACAATGCAGGTAACACTAAACATTGGACAATATTAAGAAAACTACATACTAAGCCCTAGGTAATAGAGGCAAGTGTTAAGGGCAGAAGTGATGGAAGGTTTTCTTTGCATTATAAACCCTCACCCTGAACCTAGGGTTTGGGCTCTAAAAAAACCATTTAGGGAAGCAGATCAAGAGCTTGATTATCAGTTCTCACACAGAAATCTCACATACCTCACAAACAACGCACGACAAGTGTCAGACACAAAAGAATCTTAATAATCACCTAGCAAACTGTGTTAACAACTCATGACCAGAAATAAGGAGATACTGCAAGACACACCAAAGAAAGAGTGAAAGAGAAATACAGACACAGCTCCATAAACTGCTAAGCCTCCACTGCTTTGTAGAGAAATCAACTAAAATTCAAGCAATTCTAGAAAGTTAAGACAACAAAATACCTAAGAAAAACTTCAATTTCCAGGGGTACTCTGAACTGAAGAAGAGGTTGTAGGTTATTCTGTACCCCCTGAATCGAGAGAGAGGGAAAGAGAGAGAGGGGAAAATAGAGGAGTGGAGAGAGAGAGAGAAAGAGAGAGAGAGGAAAAGAGAGGAGCAGATCCCTGGTTTTCCACAGTATTGTGTCGCATCAAAAATGTATGACTTCATAACAAGAGCACTCTATACTTTACATTAATTTACAAGATAATCCCCAAAATGTAGCCCTGTCTTCTTAATCTGCTATTATCACAGGGCCTTTTACCACTGATTAAATCTCTAATTGTTGAGTTCTCTTAGAACAGTTTGAAATGGCAAGGCTCCCTGCAGAATGACTTCCCAGAGAAGGCCAAACTGTACAGACCGGGGTCCTGTTGTCCAGAGTACAGTAAAGAGCAAGCTTTGAAGTCATCAGTTATTCATATGTGCCCCACAACCAAACATGCATATGCCACACTATTCTCTGAGGGACCATTTTAAAATAAAAGCGATGGGTCATTTATCAGAGGCATATGTTTTTGCTATAAAGCTGTTTTGTTTTTGCTTGGATAAGGTGCCAGGTACCTCTGAAGGCTGAAATTCACAGGCAATAAAATTCACCTATTTATCTTCTTTACCAAAGAGGAAGCAATTTCTGAACACTATCTATAGGGACAAACTAGTGTGAACTGCTTTTCTCACCGTGATAAAAGTTTTCCCTGGTGACAATCAAGAATGTTGCTGAAAAGACTGTTTAAACTTGAGAGAGCAGAGATAATCAAGTGAGGAAAGCAACAGCT